CCACCGCCTCCGCCGCCGCCACCTCATCCCCCTGAAGTTCAACGGGATGATTGCACATTAATGGGGTTATCAGCCATGTGCCTCCAATCTACTCCTTCCACCAGCACCACAGCAGACTGTCTTAACACTTTTCATAGCTATGGTGATGTACAACCCACACAATCCACCTCTTGTCTTCAGCCCACCTACCAAGACCTTCATAGAACACAAATTTCTCAAGAACATACACATAGTCCTGATTTATTTAAGTCCAGTGCAAGTGACTCGGTCCAAAGTAGTCTTAAATGTGTTGGTGTTGAAGATAGTGTTAATGTTGTTAATATGGAAGTGACTAGTGCCAGTGAAGTACAAGTGAGTAATCAGGATGAAAAAGACAGTGAGTGTACAGTAATAGGCCAAAGTTCCCCTCCATTAAATAAGCTAAGAGATCCTCCCCATGATGGCCAGTGTGTAGCACAAATTACTATAGACACAGGACAAACTCAACCAAATTTTTTATCCACTCCTAATTCTCAAATGTCACAAGTAAGTAGTGTAAGTAGTGCTCAAGTAAAGCCAGATGTTTGTTTATTGCAAACCAAAGATGTGATTGTTGGTGATGAGGGTAGTGAAATTAGTGTTCATGTGGAAACTAGAAATAAGGAGGATGTGGATTCTATGGACAAGTTTTACAAAAGTACAGAAAATTTTATTGAACAGTTAAGTCAAGAAACACCGAAGAAGTCATCACATTTGCGCCTAACTAATCTGTCTGAGACCTTATTGAGCCAGTGTCGAAAGTTTGATGTTTTGACTCATACTAACCAGGTACTAGATGCAGATCAGCTAGGTTTAACAAAAGAACTCTGTGATGATTTGGCAGTGGTGCTAAGTAGTCCCCGTTGGCAAGTTTTGTCATGGATGCGTGATTGGAGTGAATTGAGTAAAATATGTGAACGTTACCTTAATGATGCTGATAGTGCTAAGAACACGACCAAAGAATTAAAGTATCTCAATATTGATTATAGTCAGTTTCAGAACATGCCTTCAGCTGAGATAACAGAATTCACAGGGATAGAGAAAGGGTATGAACATTTTATTGAGCATGAGACTGAAAGTGATTATTCAGATGGGGAATATCGGGGACAAGCTAGAGCTGGTTGCTGCTCATCTGCTGGTGACTCAGACTCTACTGATAATGAAAAACCTCTTAAGAGAGGAAGAGGAAGACCAAAGAAAATTCCTCATAACAGACTATATGACTCTGATTCTGACTATGATTCAAATGAGAGGAAGGACCCCTCTTGTTATATGCTCTCCATGTCAGAGTCTGATGATTCAGATATTGAAATAAAGTGTAAAACAAGAATACTAAAGCTTAATACAGAGGGTAGCAATATAGTCGAAGGAAAAAGAGTAACAGCTGTTAGTAACCAAGACAGAAGTAAACGAATTCGAATTGATGCTGAAACTGGAAAAGTGAGGCGTGATAGAAACTTATTGAATACCTTACGGCTTTTCCGTCATCAGAAATATGGAGTTGAACCCAACGTTGAACCTGATGTCGAACCTGTTATTAAGCCTAAATATGAAGGTGCACATCGATCTGCGGAACTCTTTGCTCCTCCTCTCAGCTCACTTAATCTTAATCCTCGTGTTGTGTTAACTGAACGTGACAAGACTGCAATTGGTCATGAGGTGCAGAGATCAATGACAACAGTTGTGGCAGGAAGGAGTATGGGACCAGTGCGTACAACTCCATCTAGTCAGTCACGAGGGTCCTGGAGGTATGCAGGATCCCTAGTGGCACCCAATCCCACCACTACTACAAGGCCAACAGCATCTATTTCTCTCCCTCGCTCTACGTCAGTTCAGTGTTACCTCCGCACAAAAGATGGCAAGGTACGTGTTGCACCACTTCAGAGAGCATTGCATTTTGGTACTCGTCCACCTAATCCTGGAGGTAACAATAATTACTTAAGGATGATTAATGAACCAACATCTGGCTATGATGACTCATATGCCAAATTCTTGCTTCAGCAAAGCTCTGGGCTTAAAGGAAAGGGATCTAGTGTTACTATAACTAGAAAAAACATGTCACTCAATGCTAGTCTTGATTATCTCAAGAAACAAGGTACAACAGTTACTTATAAGTCTCAGAAATCATCTGCTTTAGCACTAGCCAATGCTCAGAAAACTGTCTTAAATAGAATAATGTCACCAGAAAATGCCATATCAGCCATGAGGGGTCGCACTGCAATCACCATGCCAGTTAGTAACAACCCTCCAAATTTACCTCCATCTGATAAGAATAACCCAACAAACATAAATCGTGTTTTACCCAAGGGCACTACTGTTGTTAGAAAACCCAAAACTGATGGTGCAGGACCTAGTGGTCTCAATAATGGTGGCTCAAGTGGTGGAGTTAATACTCGAACAGTGGTTACTCGACCTGGAACATTCTCGACTGTTGTCGCACGACCTTCCGTCACTATTTCTAGTGCTAGCCTTCGTACAGGCAACTCTATGATGGCTGTACGGACAAATACGGGCACCATTCGTACAACATTCTCTCAAGGGGTTGTAGTAACTGGAAACTTGGGAGTCCAACAAGAGTCAACAGTCAATAGCAGCCCAACACCAACCTCGGTTGTAGTCAGTTCTCCATCAACTACAACAGGAACTGCCCCTGTTGGGCCAGCATCAACATCAGTTTCATTGCCGGCCCCTTTAGTCTCAGCCACGGTGGTAGGGAGTGTCCTCAGCTCCGTTACCAACAGTCTTAATTCCCCCATGGGGACACTAGGTGGAAATAATGGCAAGCAGCAGCAGCTGCAACAAGCCTGGGATGCTGTTCAGAGTGAAACTATATGTGTTAGTGATACAACACTTACTAATTTGGCAAGTGGTATTGACAGCACTGTTACAGTTCCTCAGATCAGCAGCAGCACCAGGGGAGCCACCACCTGCACCACCACCGTGGCTAGCCCTCCGGGGGACATACGAGCAGCAAGCATGTTAGAAACTTTACTTAGAGATCGACCAATTCCACCCAGCCCTCTCCACACTCAGTCCACTACAGCTATTACCACTATCACTGCTGCTCTACCTCATACACTAACATCTGTTGTAGGTAGCAGTGGAGTTCCTATAGCAGTATCTGGGGAAGGTCAGGTAACGAATGCTGTAATGGGTGCATTAACTAGTACTGGTACCAGCAATGGAAGTGTTGTCATTGCCAGTGGTACAAGCTCCAACAGTGGGGTTATTATGGCAAGTGGTGTAGTTGGAGGAGCGTCAGGAAGTGGTGTAGTAGTTGCTAGTGGTGGAATCGTTAGTAGTAGTGGTGTTGGAGGTAACAGTAGCATTGGTGATAATAGTGGAGCAGTCCAACAGGTACTTGTTCCAGGGCAACTTGTTCAAGTACATACAAGTGATGGTTCAACAGGTTTAGGAATTGTGCATTCCTCTTCATTGGACTTGAGATTACCTGCTGGTACAAGGGTAATAAAATCCTGTAGTGGAACGGTAAGGACAACAACAGGTCAGCAACAGCAGGTAACTGGTGTTATCAATCAAGCTGGTGGTCGTCAAGTTAATGTGCTTCACAATGTCAAGATCCTACAAAATGTGCAGAACAGGCAGATTGTGCGTACAGTTGTGGTACCACATACAGTTGCACTTCAAGGTCTGAATGCTCATCAGGGAGGTCATTTAAAACCTCAAGTTGTGGCTTTGAGCCAAGGAACTAATACATCCTCTGCACCTAGTAGTGCAGAGAGTGGAATGTTGCAGTCCCAAGGTTCTTCTGCCACTGTCAGAGCAAAAATTCCACCCTCCACTATTGTACAGAAAGTTATAGGGCGGCGTGGGAGTGGTCTCGTCATCCGCACTTTGAGACCGCAAACATCTTCCACTCAAGCAACTGGTGAGACATCATCATTTGAGGAAGGACTTGGAGCAAAATTACAGCAACAGCAGGGTTTAGATGGTGAAAAGAATTCAGGAACCTCTGCCACCAATGTAGCAGTTACGCGATTACCTCAGGATGAAGGTCTTGGTGAACGTCTTAGTCACTACTTGAAAACTGCATTAGTAAGCTCTACAAGTACACAGAGTGTGGGTACTCAGACTCTGACTACAGCTGTCAAACCATCAGCTGGACAATTAGTAAATCAGGTTGCACTGAATCATTTACGAGGGGGTAGTGCAGCACTTTCCTTGACTGGAGGAGCTCAAGGCATTACTGGACAACCTAACACAATTTCTACAAGCCCAACACCACCACAGCAGTCAAGTCTCTCATCTCTTCCTCTTACTCCAACAAATGCTGTTAGCTCTGAAACTCTGGAACAACTAAGAGAATTTGAATCTGTTTTTGAAAAAGTATCAAACAAGTCTGGGAAAGAGGTAACTGATGGTGAAGCTAGTGCTGAGAGCTACTCGAGTGCCACCATGTCATCAGAAGAGTCTATGATTGCTGCACAGCTTTTAAGTATGGCAAATGATGCACCAGCTGTGACCACATCTTCTAATTATGTGTATTCTGTTCCCACAACAGTATATGATGCAGGAGGCACTCGCCTAACAGAGGGAACATATATTACCATTCCAAGTACTACACAAGCAGGAACCCTTATATTAGTAAACCATAGTGGTTCTGGAACAGGGATAGTAACAGTAGCAAGTGGTGTACAGGGTCAACAGCCTCCTACAGCAGCATCACCTGCATTGTCTTCTACCTCATCACACTCTTCCATTGCATCTTCACCATCATCCACTTCAAGTAAAAATAAAAAACAACAACCAAAGCCGAAGGTAGTCCCTCCAACTACTCCTCCAGTTGTGGCAAAGCCAAAGACACCACCCCCACCAAAGGCTCCAGCTCCAAAACCAACAGTAGCTAAACCCCAGGTTGAAGAAAGTGATGAAACAAAAGCACGCATTCAAGCAATATTAGAACAGTATAAGCAAGATCTTGCTAATACCCCACAGCCTCAACCAGCACCACGCAATAGGAAAAATTGTCCACCTCCTAAAAATGAAGGAAAATCATCAAATAAGAAAAAAAGTCCTGTGAAAAAGGTTGAAGGTGGTGCAGGAAATAGTCCAGCTGTATCAGAAGGCTCCATAGTTGGATGTCCTTCACCTAGCCCTTCTCCAGGGCCAGCAAGTGACAATTCTCTTGGTTTTTCAGGTAACGTGTCAGGGGTACAGGCAGTTCAGTACTCTGCCCAAGTTGTAGCTTCCCAGGGAAATTCTCCTGCTGGAAGTGCTGTTATTCCTGATGACAAAATCAAAGTTGAAAGTGGCCAAGAGGTAGTTGCAACAGCAACTCCACAAGTATTACAAGGTGTAGTAGTTTCAAATGTTAAAGTGGAAGGTAGTAATCTGTCTAATAGTGCAACTAGCCTCACTCAAGGTTTGGCAGGAGGCAGAGTGGTACAGCTTATTCGCCACGGTGGAAAAGTAACTGCTATTACAACACGTCAACCTTTGAGCAAGGTAAAAGCTTCCGGTCAGTCTGGTCCACCACCTAATGTTACTATACAGGGGCGTATCAATATGAATGATCTAATGGAAAGTCATATTGCATCCCTGTTGACAGGAGGTTCTAACCTAAGTCAAACACCCACGGTTGTTAGTAAAATTGTTCAACAGCAGCAAATGGCTGGTCATCCAGCTGTTCAGCAAGTAGTAGTGCAGACATCTGGAGGTCAGCAGGTATTGCAGCAAGTTGCACTTCAACAGCTTTCTACTACTCAGGCCAAATCACAACAGCAAAAACAGCAACAAAAGTGTGGTGTGATCCAACAAATCCAAGTTGCTGGAAATGAGGAAGTAATTGGAATAGCGTCACCACCACGCACTATACATGTTAATTTGCCGTCCCTGCCAGCTGCTACTCATACCAAGATAACAACCATTACAAATACTATCACAAACTCTGCTACTGTTACCAAGGCCTCTACAGTTACTAATGCATCTCCAGTTACTACATGTATCATTACTAGCACACCTATCATCACTAATGCTTCCACCAGTGTTTCACTCGGCAATACAGCCACTAGCAGTGGGACCTCTGGACCGTCCCCTCTCTCAGTAATTCCAAATTCTCCTCTAACACCACAAGCAAATCCTGTTACTTCACCTCCAACTCCACAAGCTATTGCAGCATCTCCTCACACTCCATCACCTGCTACTGAGCTACCTCCCACACCCTCATCTTTTCAGATGGGAGAGGAAAGCAATAGTAGTGAGCAAAGTGTTAATGAAGGCTTAGCTGGACCATTACCACCATTTTTTACCCTCAAATCTTTTATAATGCAAAGTCCACAACAAAATCATCAGCCACAACAGCAAAAGCAACAGGAACAGCAAAGGATTTCAGATAAAAACTTTTCATCTGGAAGTGGCATGGAGCAGGGCACTAGTACCACATCAACTACCCAAGCATCATCAACAGGATCAGGCTCTATGACCCAAAATAAACATCCCCAACGTGGAAATCCAGCACACATTCAGCTACAGATTTCGCAACTTCCAAGAAAACCAGCTTCAGTAATACGTACTGGAGGGAGTGGTGGGAGGAGGTTAGTGGTTGGAGGCTCTGATGGAAATGGACGGACAGTTGGACGTGGCACTTCAGCTTCTCCTTTATTGATCAGTGGTGCAGCAGAAGCTGGGATAGCTGTTTCTCCATTATCTGGTTCTTCTAGCCTGGAAAGCTCTCCTGCAGCCACTCATTCTCGCATCCGCTTGGCAACAAGACCCCAAGATACACGGAGCAATTCCATTGACTCCTTAAAAAGTGATCTCAGTAAGTAACTTTTACAGATGATTATATTGTATGACGTATTCTTTATGTTAACCAAAGATTTGTTGTGTAAAAATCATTAGTAGTGTGGTTCCTTCATAAGGAATTGTTGACTGTACTAGCCACCCTTGTGGTTATGAAATATTTTTGCTTTTCTTAATTTCCTCCATGCATGATCGCTTTTCTCAAATCCATAATCTAAATATACTGTCAGTTTTTATAATTTTTTTCAGTTGTAGATTGCTAAATTTAAAAAGTATGATTATTTGTTTAGAATTATGACCCTAAAATTCATGGCATTAAATTGGTGTACCCATGTCTCGAGTAATTCAGGAAACTATACTTGAGATTACATTGCTGTATGTATTAACTAATTGCTTTCAATTATTTATAGTACAGTGTAGGTTTTAGGGTACATAAACATTGATTTTGTATTTTGGAGGATTGATCTCCACTCACAGTCCATGATTCTGCTTAGTCAGTACAGCTGAGTAGGGTTGGCATGGTGCTCCAGGTCCTGAATTGCTGACAGCTGCTTTCATTATCATCTTAAAGGCCTTGAGTCATACTAAGGTCTTCATATAGGAAAATACCACCCTGTAAGGTGGGAAATGGTTAATAGATGCCGGTTTTATCTGCTTAATGGATTTAGGAGAAATTTATCAAAACTCATTTTAGTGTGCTGCTAAATGCTGCATCTCTAAAATCTTTTCCAGTTGTTTGAATTTTGACTCTGCATTGTTTTCTTGTATGTGTGTGTGTGTGCGTGCAAATATTTTTTTTAGTGTGGTTGTTTTTGTTCTGCCAAGGCAAGGTGACCCAAAGAATAAGAAAACATTCACTAAAGCACCTTTTTTTTCCAGAAGTGTGTTGACAACACAGTCAGATTACCCACTAACTGCAACATCCTTATCCCTCTTTTAGTGTGCAGGCACATCCCTTTCTATCTCCAGGGCTCAAGTCCAGCTAACTGGTTTTCTCTGAATCCCTTTGTAAAAGTTACCCTGCTCATACTCCAATAGCATCTCCATTAAAAACCACTCGTCTTCGTTTACTCCGATGCAACATGCTCTCACAAGTCTGCTGGATGCTCAAGCCCATAGACCTCAAAGTCTCTTGTACCCCTTCCTTCCGGTCATTCCTGGCACGACCCCTTTTCCTTCTGCCTTTCACCACAGATTTATATACCCTTTTTGTTAACCTATCCCTGTTCATGGTTTGTTCACACCCAAACCATCTCAACAACCCCTCCTCAACTTCAAATTGTACTTGTACCCTTAGTCACCTCACATCACCTTTTAATTTCTACACTGAATTCTCTGCATAATATTCACATCAAACATGACATCTCCACTGCCTCCAGCATCTTTCTCATTGCAGTATTCAACACCCATGCTTCACACACGTGTACATTTTTTTTCTCCGTAGGTAAACTCCTTTCCATAGCCAAACCACCAATCTTTTTCCTCTGTGGTTGACCTTGGCTTTCATAGATCTTTCTTCTGACATGTCCATACACACTGTGTATTTTTGTGTTAGGGAGGCCTAATAACTTGAAAGCTGGAAATATTTTTCTCCACAAAGCTGTCCTTGTTATTTGTTGAAATGTAGGGCCAGTATACTGTACATGCAAAAACTTACAGATGAGACACTATTTAGTGGTAGCTATCATTTGCACAGTATTGCACATTACATGCAAATGGTAGGTATTATACCTCTACAGATTGTCCAGTCTGTTAAATATTTTGCATGTTGAGGTGGTTCGGACATGTAGAGAGAATGAAGCAAAACAGAAAGACTTCAAGAGTGTATCAGTCTGTAGTGGAAGGAAGGCAGGGTAGGGGTCGGCCTAGGAATGGTTGGAGGGAGGGGGTAAAGGAGGTTTTGTGTGCGAGGGGCTTGGACTTCCAGCAGGCATGCGTGAGCGTGTTTGATAGGAGTGAATGGAGACAAGTGGTTTTTAATACTTGACGTGCTGTTGGAGTGTGAGCAAAGTAACATTTATGAAGGGATTCAGGGAAACCGGCAGGCCGGACTCGAGTCCTGGAGATGGGAAGCACAGTGCCTGCACTCTGAAGGAGGGGTGTTAATGTTGCAATTTAAAAACTGTAGTGTAAAGCACCCTTCTGGCAAGACAGTGATGGAGTGAATGATGGTAAAAGTTTTTCTTTTTCGGGCCACCCTGCCTTGGTGGGAATCGGCCAGTGTGTTAATAAAAAATAAAAATACATGCATTGCAGCATGCATAGACAGCCTTGTGGAAAAAACCATTCAAAGTTTTTTGGACTTCCCTAATGCCCATGGTGTCTAGTTTATGATTTTTAACCCTTAAACGGTCCAAATAGATAGACGTTCAAATCTAGTGCTCCAAAAGTAGATCTATGTTTTTTTTACATATTTTCAAATATAACAAAAAAAAATGTAGATAAAAGTTTTTTTTGCACATTTTCAAATGTAAAAAAAAAAAAGATGATGTACACTTTTTTATATACTTTCAAATGTTGAAAAAAACGTATATATACGTTTGGACTGTTCAAGGGTTAATCCATCATATGATTTCATTTAATAGTTTTACAGCTATTTATGAAAAAAATGTATACTGTAGTATCCTCTAGGCATCTCTCTCTCTTTTTTTCTCCCTTTTGGTATTAAGAAATCTATTATCTATTCTTTCTTAACCCTTTCAGGGTCCAGAGGCCAAATTTCAAAGTGTGCACCAGGGTCCAAGAATTTTCAAAAAAATAATTTTATTTTTTCTTATGAAATGGTAGAGAATCTTTTTCTGGAGGTAATAAAGCAAAAAGTATGAAATTTGATGCAAAATTGATGAAATTATGCTCTTGCGAATTTTGACGTGTCAGCGATATTTACGCATCGGCGATTTTGCCGACTTTGGCTCCCATTTTAGGCCAATTAGCTTATTCCAGTTGACCAAATTCTTAGCTATTTCACTAGTATTACTTCTATTCTATCAATTGAGCACAAGAAATTGCCAAGTCAAGTGTTTCAACTACAAGATAAAGTGATTGGAAATTGGTAATTTGGCCAATTTAATGCAGATAAATAAAAAAAAGGGCACAATACCTTGACTGGAACGATACACAAATAACCCGCACATAGAAGAGAGGAGCTTACGACGACGTTTTGGTCCGACTTGGACCATTTACAAAGTCACACTAACTAGAAGTGGAGCAGAACGGCTATATATAGGCAGGAAGAGGTAGTGGTGGTAGTAGTAGTAGTAGTGGTAGTGGTGGTAGTGGGGAATTAAGGAGGAGGAGCCAGTCAAATACAAAGAAAGGGGAGCACTGCAAGGGAGCTAGGTGCCCAAAGAGGGAGAGCAAGTGCACAGAGGTGGGGGGAAGGGGAAGTGATGAAATAAATAACGAAGGAACAGAAACACGCGACAGAAGAAATAAAGACAAAAAAGGAAAGAGGAAAGGGGAAAAGGGAGAAGAAGAAAAAAAAAATGAGGAATCAGGTTAAGTCACGGGTGTTCTGAAGTTTGGAGCATTTTACAATGTAGTGGGAGAGGAAGGCATCTACAGAGACGAAGCCAGGACTAAGATTCATACAAGGAAAGTTGTGTATTAGGATTCAACTAGACGGCGACTGTTTAGAGTTGGACGTAGGGAAGACAGTTTTAGCGGAAGACCAGTCAATAGGATGGCTGTGATCTCTGACGTGACAGAACAGAGCATTGTTAGTGTCGGCAAGCCTAACACTATTTTTGTGCTCCCTAAGTCTGTCAGAAAGAGATTGGTTCAGGTTTCAGTCCTTCACTGTCTATGTACTCCTTGAATTCCTGCACATATTTTTCAGCTGCTTTGTGGTCCGAACTGGCAGCCTCACCATGCCTTATCACACTATGGCACTACGCTTCTTAAATCTCTCAAACCAGCCTTTGCTGGCCTTAAATTCACTCACATCATCACTAGTTGCAGGCATTTTTTTAATTAAATCCTCATGCAACTTCCTAGCCTTTTCACTTATGATCACTTGAGAGATGCTATCTCCTGCTATCTGTTTTTCATTTATCCACACCAATAAGAGTCTCTCAACATCATCTATCACTTGCGATCTCTGTTTCGAAAACACAGTTGAACCTTTGGCAAGAACAGCTTCCTTGATTGCCGTTTTCTTGGACACAATAGTAGCGATGGTTGATTGGGGTTTACTATACAACCTGGCCAGCTCGGAGACACGCACTCCACTTTCATACTTAGCAATGATCTCTTTCTTCATCTCTATAGTAATTCTCACCCTTATTCCTGTAGGGTTGGCACTAGAAGCTTTCCTGGGGCCCATGGTCACTTATTTTGCAGATAAAATCACCAAAAACACTGTAATAATACGAAATGTTCCGATTGTATGCTTGGATGTTACCACGGAGGCTGGCTGGTAAACAATACCACCAGCGGAACATGTGAAGCTGGCTCAGGCCACACATTAAACGCATCTCGGACGAATAGCATTGAGCGGGTTTTTTAGCGGTATGCGAGGCAAAATCTTAGCGATAAAATGTATCGGTATGCGGATTTAACGTTATGATGCCAACAGTATGCGGGGGTCCACTGTACTGTATTTCGTATGAATACGTGAGGGGACCGTTGCTCACTGGTAAACAATGGCACACTGGCTGGGAAGGGAGGCCCAGGCGGCTCAGAGCGTGAGTACGCGTCCAGGACGAAAGACAATTAGCGAGTTAACGGACCATTTGCGAGCCAATGTTTAGATGAAATAACGAGACTATTTCTGAAATGGAAGACTTTGAGGCTGGACGATTATTGAGGGACCACTGTACAGTGGACCCTCGCCTAACGAATGCATTGCATAACGTTAAATCCGCCTAACGAAGCGCTTGAGTTTAAAAATTTTGGCCCGCTTAACGATAAAAAGCTCGCCCTATGTGATTCCTCCCAAACCTGTCCGTCCAGCCCGAGCGCCCCAGCTGCCTTGCCGTCATTGTTTACAAGCCAGGGTGGCCAGTTGCATGCATACAT